ATATATATATATATATAAATAAAAATAATTTGCAAATATTAATTTTTTATATTTGTAGGGATAAGTAAAAATAGAAAACATGAAATATATAGTAATGTGCATAACTAATAAATGAAAGAGGAGACACATCATTCATTAGCAGCAGATACTGAGCATGTATACTTATTTTCTGACTGATGTTAATACAGGATACATTTCATTTAATGCTTACAATATTTTCAAATTTTATTTTTATATTTTTGAGGCTTTTATAAGATTTTCTTCAAAATTGCATAATGACATTCAACTGATAAACTGAATGAGAATAAATGATATTGATAAGCATTAATTAAAATATTAATTGGAATAAGTTTGTAATTTGTTATTATGTTAAACAACTATTTCAAAGATTCAAAAGATACAATTATTTCTTTTAATTGGCATCCTATTTCAACTTACTGTTTCTGAGCTTCTCTCATAAGGTTTCCTACGATGTCCACTACTGGTAGATGGTTCTGAGGTATCATAACCTCTATCTCCCCTTGATTGAGACATTTCTAAAATTTTATAACAAAAGCAGGAAACTATATTAATAATATAACTATATTAATAATATTATGTTTGAAAAAACAATCTTCATAATTAACAATCCACACAATCTATTAATCTTAAACAACATAAAATTAATCTAAGAAAAATGTTTCATCATGATTTGATTTTTATCAAGATTACTTCTATAATTACCAAGAATATAAAATGTTACAATTAAGGAAATATTTATTCGATGTTTCGAACGTAAACCGATAATAATAATAGACATTTCACATAAAGTTTGAATAATAAACCTGTTTCCATAACCAATCTTATGTTTACTAATATACCAATGTATTCAAAATGAAAGTCTATTTAAAATTTGCCATTGAAAAAATTTGCTATTGAAAATAACAAAAAAAGCTTCAATAGAGTCCAGTATAGAGACAAAAAAAGATAGGCGTAAAAGGAAAGACAGGAATAAAACAGAAGCGAGCGAGATGTATTTTTATGTCAATAGCAAAAAAAAATACAATTTTTGGCATAGCATACAAAAATATTACAAAGAAAACTACCTGTGAACTAATTGCAGTATTCACTTTACATTTGAACATAAACCAACTGCATTTCACTTCTTTTATTTTCCGTGGACATGAAAGCAGCAAGACGCATGATCTTTCCCGCTTCCCACGTGGGATCGCGTGTTTATCTTAAACCTCATCTTAAACTATTGTAACACATCTTTCCGCCGACGAGAGGAATCGATCGAGATAAATGAAATGTCGCGTTAAACATCGATTTTTCTTAGAATTACCCCTTAATATTTTGTCACGTGTTCCATGATTAAATGTTTATTCAAACAACTTTGTGATCATGCCCTCGTCAACGACAAAGACATAAAGATGTTAAACGTAAAGACGGATAAAACTTCGCGTTAACGTCGACTTTTTTGGGAATTTTATCGTACGCTGATATTTACCTTAGTATTTTCGTAGAATTTTGGTTCAGAAGGCTCGAACTACGTCCAAAATGCGTGTTATTCGATTCTGTTTCACAACAAATTCGTTGCACACGTTCAAAACTATCAAAGCCCCGGTTTCCAATACGTAAACTATAAATCGACGTAGCTTATTGCGATTGCTTTCCCTTATTACTAAGCAGCTCCACTTGACCAATCACACGTCAAGCGTCACTCCGAAAAAATTGATTGGTCCTACTCGAATAGGCTGGAGAAACATTCACGCGATCGATATCTGGATCGATGTTTTTACGAAAACATCTTTCTGAAGTCGAATCGGACCAGATTTGACGTCGCGCATGATATTTAAAAAGCTCGAATATCGTCATAACACAAGAATCGGCACGAGTGTGTGAGGATAAAAGATATCACCGGTGATAAAAATGTAGTCGTAACAGCACCGCGCAATTTTGAAGCGGCCAATCAACGACGTTTTTGTCACCCCTTTTTTTCGACTTAGCAACAATGTACTCAGGCAAACTCATACATACATACATAACATATAACTCATATACATACATAACTCATATACATATCTAAAAATGCGACGTAGGCATAATGAAATGCTTTATGCCAATTTGTAACAGAGATGAGTTTTTTTAATTCATCAATTAATAAATCACATTATGCAAATGTAACTTTGTTCTAAAACAGTATTTGCGCATTATGCGATTAATCGATCGAGGAATTAAAAAACTCAGTCTGCAATTAGTAGTTTCTGTCAGCCACTTGAGATTTGAGGATTTTGAGATCGCTTTTGCACTGTTCTACGTTGTATAAAAATCTAAAAAAAATTGTATATTTGTAAAATTTTTAATTAAGTTTTTATCTTCAAAATTTTTTTCAGGTAGGATATTGTCGTTTACAAATTTATCCTAAAATTTATAATAAAATATTAACTGTGCCTTTAAATTTCTTGTCGATGGAAAACTAGGAAAATTTTTAAAAATTCATCAATTTTTAACATACACACGTATATTTCAAACATTGGGAACACATTATTGATATATTATGTGAATCATAGTTTTTATATATTATATAAATTAAAAAAGAAATTAATAAATTTTTCTTTTCAAAGGATTCACCATTCAGATAAATAATCATATGTGTATACGTGGTACGCTATGGAATAGAATATATCCTGTTATAATTGACACACTGCTCTATATACTAGACATCTTGTTACTGGATTTATCCCAGATGTATCATGTAAAATAGACCAATATGTATGTATGGTGCTTACATGTATGTGTTTGTGAACATTGCACATTTTCTCTCAATACCGAAGACATGTATAATTTTGCCAAAATTTACTTCGATTTCCAGTAATATCTTTCAAGCGATTAAAAATCAAGATCTTTTGCCAAGGATACATTTAAATATAGAATTCTGTCAACGATTTAAAGTTAAAGATACTTTATAAACTATCCTAAATTTAGCGTTCAGAGAAAATGCACAATGGAACATATTATATGTACATATGCGAGTGGTTCAGTTTAACAGATATAAGAACATATCGCTCGCTTATTAAAGCTTATTAAAAATCCAAAGACATCGTGATGAATAAAACAAAGAAGAAGATTATTAAGAATAAGTATTGTATGTGAGATTTGCTTATGAAAATATGAAATTTCTATGCAACTATATGTAAAAACTGCAACTCCTAGAAGATATTATTCAATAGTAAAGAATGGAGATATTTACTGGGATTGAGATGTTGCATCTTATGATATTAAACGGATAAAAGTGGTATAGAACTTTACTTATACAGATTATATTTTCAGAGCTACCGCTATATCTTCAAATATATATTCTAGGTCTGTATTCGAAACATAGGATTAGAACCAGATGTGGCTATAGGATTATTAACTCCTCTTGCTAATGATATTCTGTGTTCTGTGTTCGACAAATAAAACATGAAATCAAACGGCTACATTTGGTTCTAAATGGAACAAACAGACATACAGATCAAACATTCTCTATATATAATTTTGTTATTCCTATTCAAGCCGATATTCTCTCCATTTTTTATTTTAACGTTTCCTACAAACACTTACC